GAGCCGTTTCCTCAGCAGAGGCGTCTCCATGGTTTGGCTGGCAGCACCTGAGCTGCTGTGCAGTGCTCCGGCACCGGGAGGAGGAAGGTTTCTGAATGCAGCAGGAAAACTGGATTGCTTGCCCTCCATTGTGCCCACTGTGATTGCTGGGGAGGCACCACCAGAATCCTCTCCACCAGCCTACGACAACTCTCCCCATCACTGAATGCGCGGCTCGATGAAGGACTTCAGCTGAATAGCAGCTGATTAACTGGCTGGCAATTTACAGGGTACACATCAAGCACTCAAGAGAGGGTAAGACATGAAGCCACCGCAGCTGAGCTGAGGTTGATGTAGCCACCTCAGTTAGAAGCAGGTGAGCAGAGCAGAGATTTCCAGTCCTCTTTGGAGAATTTCCAAAATGTAACCAGACTGGGGATGATTTATACATCTAAGGGCTAAAGAAAGCGAATAAACAGCAACATTTTTAACCAAGACATGGGAAAACAGAGAGAAAGGAAAATTGAAAACCTTTTAATGAACCTACAGGATTCAGCCAAATTCACAGGCGTAGTACAAAACAGAAATATTTCTCTGGATCAGTTGTGATCTGCACATAAAAAGGTACGAGCCAGAGGAGTCCAGCGGGACCGAGCCCAGGAGGGGCTTCAGTTGGAGGGAGGCGGAGGAGGGATGGTGCCTGGCCCCTCCGTGGGGAGCGGTGGCCTCATCATGGGCGGCAGAGGAGCTGGAGGGGGCACACCGGGTGCTGGTGGCAGCTGCGGTGGCACCGGGGGTGGTGGCACTGGTCCCGAGGGAGGCATGGGAGGCAGAGTCATGCCTCAATTGAAGGAAGAACTGGGGAGGGGAGAGGAGAAGAGCAAAGAGAAGAGAACAATGAATCCTCAGGACCGCTCTGTGCCATCACACAACACAGCTCAGCTGCTCCCTGCCTCCAGGACCGCAGCTCGGACCTCTCCCGCCCCGTTACCTCCGCAGACCCTGGCTGCCCGCCTGCCCTGGCAGCATTCACGCCTCGCACCAGCCTCGTCCAGCACTTCAACTCCTCTGAAACTGGTTGTGAGTGCTAAGCTGGCTGTGACGGGGTGGGTATCCCCCCCTACGCACTCGTCCCCTGCTCTCACGCACGATACCCAGTGAGTACGTCCACGCTACGGGCTGCCCGCAGCGAGCTACGTGCAGGAAACACGCAGCGAGAAGCCACGGAGGGGGCACGGTGTTGGACATTCATGCACCGTTCTGCTGCTCCTGCTGCTGCTGCCAGCAACCGAGGATTCTACCTCCCGGGTTAAATTCTGACAACGACCACACACAGGAAGATCTTTCTGTCAGGAGGAGTCACTGCACCGTTGCGCCCAAGGAATGAAGATTTTAGCACCAAAGCCAGCAGGGATGTAACTGATGTGCGCTCCCCCTGCACTGCCTTTCCCCCCAAGCTGCTCTGCGCTCCCACTCCCTCCTTAACCGTTAAAAAGATGTTGCAGCGCTCCAGCTACCTGTTTGGTTTCCCTGTTCCAGTGGGTCCAAAACTTTCCTTCTGCTTTGTCGATTTCTCTGCTTGGCACCTGCAGCAAAAAAGAAGCAGGAGCTATTATTAGCACCACCAGATTAGCTCAATGGCCCCTTTTAGCACCAGAGCCTGCAAGATAAGCACAGTGATCCCAGGCCTTTGTGAGACACACTCGGATGTTATTAGATAGAGATAGGGGCAGGAAAGAATTAAGTTACTTCCCTATCGGTCAAGGACAAGTGTGCTGGCAAAAAACCCTCTCTCAACATCTGCACAAAGGCTGATGAGCAAAGCCCAGAAGGCTCCATTCTGTGCCAGACACTGAGCATTCAGTGGCTTCCCAGAGCTCAGCACACAGCCTAGCTTCCACGCCAGAGTCCTCCGCTGATTCTCAGCAGGGTTTAATGACTTCCAGCCATGTCGTCTTGACCCCCCCTTTCCACTCCATTAACCCCCTGCAGGCTACAACAGAAGTCTATAACACTGCTCACTGGGAATTGATGTCTTGGAAAACACGGGAAGGGAACTTCCCAATAATCAATGAATCCAGAATCTTACCTTGAAAGCTATGGTTTCGTAGGGCTCCGCTGCCATCAAGAGGTATTGCCAGCGCCTGTCAGGGGGCTCAATCCTTTGCTCGTAGGCGGACATGAACCGATGGCGAGGCATGATGCTTTCTGCGATCTCCGGATAATCGATCTGTTGGGGTGTTAGCGCAGCATTCAGGAGAACATCCCCTTTTCACCCCCCCTTCATTCAAACCCAATCCCTCAACTACGAAGCACACTGAGAGATCAGCTCCAAACAGAAAAATTAGTGCCACCGAAGGACACAGCTTGACAACTGCGCTCATGGATTTGCTTGGCACAATCAGCAGCAGAAGACTAGCAAGGCAGGGCCATTTTTTAATTATTTTATTTATTTCATGAATCCCCTTTAGCAGCACTTTTACTTGGATAACCCAAACACCAAGAATTTAAACAGTGCCCTTACCTGGAAGAGAAGGCTCTGCTGGCCTGTTTCTGGGTCTCTCTGTTTTGTCACTGTAAAGAAAATAAGAAAGCTCAGTACATCACGTAGTAGGGTCAGAGCAACATTATTTCTGCCCTAGGAAACACACAAAGCCTCCAACACCAAAGTATTACAAGATTTTTCTCCCATTTATCAAACAAAATGCTAGAGTGTCTTTAATCGAAGCTACTAAGGATCTCTGCTGAAATTCAGCTGCCATGGGGCAAAGACACCGCGCTGCAGAGCAAAGCTGGGAGACAAAGCAGCCAAGTTGCGTGCTGAAGGGCAAAACAACACAGTGAGGAGTTCAGGGAAAAAACTTGAGCTCTACATGCCATGAGTGATTTACAAGCATTAGTGAAAGATGGCACAGCACAATAAAAGCAGAAGGGAGACTGAAACAATGTCACCATCTCCTGCATGACTGCTAATAAGAGCTGCAAGACTGAGACATACCAATCTATTATTAAAATGGTTCTCACTCGACTGTCGGCAATAAAGAGATGTTCCATGGGTAATTTAAACAATAAAGGACATCAAGAGATAAGTCCATATCTTATTCATGGACAGATCTGCTAAAAAGACTAATTAATAATTCATATCCACAGCACTGCACTTCAGGCGAGCTCCTACGACAGACTCCCCCGCCGCACCTTTATAGCCCGGCCGTCCAATTTTCACAAATTTCTTCACTTCCACTTTGACCTTTTCTGGTGCGGGCTGGGCAGGGGCTTCCTTAGCTTCCTTCGCAGCTCGGCGGGCCCTGGATTAATTTGAAATGTGCCAAATTTAAAAGGTTAGCCAGACTTGTTTCTAAAGGATACACCAGGAGCAGTTTCAATCCCTCACCAGCCAATATTCAGTGTTTCACAGCCAGGAAAACCTGCTGCTCCCCTTCCACAGGCCCCACTACAGGCCAGTTGTATCCGTGCCTTCCCCTGACTAACGGCTGTCATCTCGGTCATCTTATCCACCTCCGAGGTGACCTTGGTCCCTCTCTCATGGATTTTAAAAGATTTACTTCTTGAAGATTTACTCACTAGAAGATTTACTTCTTGAAATAAAAAAGAAAAAAACCCAACAAGCTAGTCACCTAAACCAAAGCTAACAGGATTTCTTCAAATAAAACTTACAAACTTCTCCCAACCTGTGTTCACAAAACCAGATCCTTCCAACTAGAATCAGTTTGCTTCTGAAACTGTTTCTCCCCCTTCCTTCAGAAATCCCACAACTGGCTTTGAACTTGAGCTGGAAATGGAGCTGGTCAGCACCGTTTTGTGGAGCAGATCTGGTCTGTAACTGCAGCTACTGCCAGGCTGCTCACTGGGAAACCACCACGGTGAAGGAACGCTCAAGTGTGCTGCTCTGTATGGGAGCTCCGGATTTACAGACGCACACAAGCATCGTTTTGAAGTGCTTAGGTAACGGAGAGCAAAGCTACAGCGGAGAACGACTTACAAATTGGTCTGATGCTTCTTCCCCTGGGTATGTGCTAAGTAACTTCCCTGAAATAAAAAACAAGGCAGAAGAAAGTCAAATGAAGGCGGGACTGTTCCTGCACTGACAGCTGCTTGTCACCGAGGAGAGACTATATCACGTGTTGCCAAGGATATTTTAATCCTTAGCGGAGAGGAATCTTACTCCACGACTGCAGAATGCTCTCAACTGCCAAACTGTCATAAGCTGTCAGGCTTCACACATGCAAGCCACCACCCACCCATCATCTCTTCGGCAGTCAGTCGTCAGGCACGTCCCAGGTCCTTGTGCTCGAAGCTACTATTATTCCAAAATACCCGCTGCCGAGACCCAGACAGACAGCTGCTCAACTCACCTCATTGTTGTGCAGCGTGAGGCAAAGCTTGCATTCATAAGAGCCCAAGTGATTTTTCATAAAATAAGGGTCCTAGGAAGAAAGTTATTAAAAAGTTACAAGCGAAACACATGGCAAACCAACGGAATAATCCAAATGCTTGGTGCTGAACTTCTGCTGCACTGGAAGAACGGAGTGCGTAGGTTTAAATTAATGGCATAACACTGCTTTAGGACGACGAAAAGAGAGAAACACGAGCAGCTTTGCTAACTGGTGACAGCACACCCAACTGCAGGCAAGAGACAGCCAAACACAAACCAGTCCCAAGAAGACCGGCAATAACCCAGTAACAGCTACTGGAACACGCAAGTGCTGGCACCTCTCTGCTCAGCCCCGCCACAAATCTCTCTCGTTCGACTCCACATTACCAGAAACAACGGTATTTAATTCCAGTCCACGAATCTCCGCTATAGCTCTCGCCCCCCAAGCCGCTGCGCTCAGCCAAAGCTCTAAACCTATCCCCACAAGGGTCAGCAGGACAGGAGCCACGGGGCTCTCCTTCCCCACGCAGGAGAGGCCCAGGCTCACCTTGTTGATGTCGATGGTCTCCAACGCCAGCTGCCGGAGCCTCTCCCTGCGGTCTCGGTTACTTTCCGAGGCAGAGGCTACGCCTCCGCTCCCAGTTTTACCTCCGGGACGATGCTGAAAATCCATGATGGGGACTTCTGTGCTTCAGCTACTTATGGAGAAAGAGAGAGTCTGGAAAAAAGAGAAGAAGCAATGTGAGTGACAACCAGCGCTTCTCCTAGCCTGGACCTGTCAAGTGAGGACGCAAGAGGAGCACAACAAACCCTGCCCTTGACTCTCGCCACGCAATGCAACTCCAAACGGAGCAGGTCTCGTACCACTGACTCCACAAGCTGAGAAGCAAAATGATGCAAAGTAACGAGCCCCCGGAGCCCTTCCCATCTCCTCAGCCCCTTCCGCTACGCAGAGACGCACCCCTCCCCCAGCTCG